TTTGCATTCTATATAGCAAACAACATGTGTGTAACAGATCTTTTCACACTTTAACATGACAGAGACCCTAAGGGTTCTCTAAATGTAAATTATCAAAGTTCTCTTACATTTGCAAATTGGAGTCAATAAACCACGGTAAATGCAGATAGAACCTTCTCATTTTGAAAAGTCATTTTCCGCTTGGAATTTTGATTCTAGTTCTATTAGTTCTATCTGGCAGATCATTCATTGAAGCATTACTTATCAAGAAATACAATAAAATATATATAGTTTAGTGTTAAATTTTAGTGTAAAATTTTGCTTTCTGTAACATTCATTTCATGTGTTGTAATAAATATTTTTTCTTTTAAAATTAAGCATACAAGGCTGTACTATTTTTTTTCCAGTGCAGCTGTTAATTTTATCTAATTATTATGTTCATATTTATAAAATTTTATACTTTAAATAAATGATTAAATTATATTTATTGAATTATATGCCCCATGAAATAAATTAAGTATTTGCCCTTCAAGGCTTAATATTAAACTTATAGACTTTAAAAGAAACAAGAGTATGAGCAAATGAGTTTAATAAACACTGAAAAGTGTTTCACTGACTATATTTACACAAACAAAATTATTTTACATTTAACATACAAATTTTTAAATGTTCATTTCTTTTTCAACAATATAAAATTGAGCATTTCATCTCAATGTTTGCGACGCGTTGGCACAGTGGGTAGCATGATTGCCTCACATCAAGAAGGTTGCTGGTTCAGCCTTGGCTGGGTCTGTTGGCATTTTTGTGTGGAGTTTGCCATGTTCTCCCCGTGTTTGCGTGGGTTTCCTCTGGGTGCTCTGGTTTCCCCCACAAGTCCAAACCCATGCGGTACAGGTGAATTGGATAAGCTAAAATTGGCCATAGTGTATGTGTGTGATTGAATGTGTATAGGTGTTTCCCAGTGTTGGGTTGCAGCTGGAAGGGCATTCTGTGTAAAACATATACAGGATAAGTTGGCGGTTCATTCCGCTGTGGCGACCCAAGATTAATTAAGGGACTAATTTGAAAAGAAAATGAATGAATGAATCTCAGTGTCAAGAAATGCTTCTAAATCATCACATTTACACACATTTCAATTTTGTGTGGTGTGGCATTATTTAGTCGACTCTGATTTTGTGTGATTTTGTCTTTCTGGTGTTTCCTGCTGTCAATGGAGCAGTCCGGCGAAATGACAAAGAAAGCTGATCCTAATTGGTCCTCGCGCATGCATTAAAAATGCTGATTGGCTCACTGATAAAACCTTATAGAGCCAAGCTAGAGTTCAACTTTGTAGATACACCTTTTTTGTTTTTTAAATAAAAAGCCTTAATATGTAAACAACATATAAAAACACATCCCATAATGTAAATAAGTTGCCATTTAAAAAGAATATGTGAATAACTCAATTTTGACAAAAATGTCAGATAGAACCTTATAATTCTAAGGTGACGATATTTCTATGCACATTTTGGAATATTGCATGAAGATGCTTAATGAAAACAGCAGGATGCTCACACATTTGTGTTCATGTTTCATCTGATATTCCAGTTTTGCGCATTAGATTACTTTGTGTCTTTGGATGGAAACTCAGCTTGTGAGGTGTTTGTGTTTAGTGAAGTAAATGCTGGTGTGTGTGTGTGTGTGTGTGTGTGTGTGTGCGTATGTTGTGTCCAGCACGCTGTGCTCTCAGCAGCTCACTTTGGCCTCAGTGATGGTGGTGGACGCGCCGGGCCTCAGGAACCCAAGACACAGCGCTGAGGAACGGGCCGCCGGCTTCTCTGAGCTCTGCCACAACTACCTGCAGGAGAGACTGCTGGAGCATCACTACACACACACCTTCACACAAACACTGGACAGATACACACAGGTAATGCACGCACACACGGCTGCACTCAGATGAGCTTGAGAAAGTTACTTATAATGCTGTGCTAGATATATATAAACTCACCGGCCACTTTATTAGGTACAACTGCTTGTTAACACAAATTTCTAATCAGCCAATCACATGTAGACATGGTCAGGACGATTTGTTGTAGTTCACACCGAGCATCAGAATGGAGAAGAAAGGGGATTTAAGAGACTTTGAACGTGGCATGGTTGTTGCTTAAAGACGGGCTGCTCTGAGTATTTCAGAAACTGCTGATCTACTGGGACTTTCACGCACAACCATCTCTAGGGTTTACAGAGAATGATCTGACAAAGAGGAAATATCCAGTGAGCGGCAGTTCTGTGGGCGCAAATGCCTTGTAGATGCCAGAGGAGAATGGCCAGACTGGTTCCAGCTGATAGAAAGGCAACAGTAACTCAAATAAGCACTCGTTACAACAGAGCTCTGCAGAAGAGCATCTCTGAACACACAACACGTCCAACCTTGAGGCGGATGGGCTACAGCAGCAGAAGAGCACACCGGGTGCCGCTCCTGTCAGCTAAGAACAGGAAACTGAGGCTACAATTCACACAGACTCACCAAAACTGGACAATAGAAGATTGGAGAAACGTTGCTGCTCTGATGAGTCTCCATTTCTGCTGACACATTTGGATGCTCGGCTCACAATTTGGCCTCAACAACATGAAAGCATGGATCATCCTGCCTTGTATCAGCGGTTCAGGCTGGTGGTGGTGGTGTAATGGTGTGGGGGAGATTTTCTTTGGGTCCATTAGTACCAATTGAGCATCAACGCCACAGCCTACCTGAGTATTGCTGCTGACCATGTCCATCCCTTTATGAGCACAGTGTATATATAAAAATAATGATATAATTATAATTATATATATATAATTTATAAAATTACATATTTACATGCATGTTTAATTTTACATTGTTTTTTTATTTCTTATATTTCTTCAGATACGAATATCTGTGTCTAAACAAATGAAAATGTATAGTTTAATTATTTTTATAACAATAGTAATAATATAAAATAAATACAATAAATAACAAATAACTTAAAATAGCATTCCTTTTATTTGTACGTTTTACCTGTTTAAAATAGCATGTTTATTATTATTCATTGTACTTTTGCTCTATACTTTCTTTATTAGTGTGTTTATTGATCTAATAATAAAGGGGTGACCTGGACCGGCGGTCTAGGCAAACGGCGACCCTAGCAAGATGCCGCTCTGCGTGATCGCCCATATTGTCTATGTCTAAATCCGCCACTGGGGGTGACGTGACATGATCCTCCTTATCCGCTTGTTAAGTGGTGACGTGTTGGTGACGTATGTAATACTGTTTCCAGGTCCAAGCCGCCACATTTGTTTATGATCACTTTTAATTCCTATCACACATTAAAGTTAATTTTATATAAAATCCTAGTGTGCACAACAATCTCTGGGCTTGCTGCATCACAAATGCCAAAATTTTAACACTTTATAAAAAAATAAATCACTTTCTGGCCATCGGATATTAGGCATGGACATATATATTGCAATCTTGATTTACGTAAGTATTAAATTGCTTTGTAAACGTTAATTATTACCATTTTATGAGTCTCCCCATACAGTTGAATAGAGCACTTGGACCCGGAAGCCGCTTTGCGTGACGTCACACTTAACAAGCGGATAGTTATAATAGCTAGATTGAGATTATGAACATGTTTGTGTATGGTCTGTGCAGGAAGGAGTGCCTGTGGATTTCTCAGCCCCAGAGTCGAGTCCGTCTGAGGTGGTGTGTGCCATCGACCAACCAGGACTGCAGGTTTCACACACTCTCTACACACAGCAGATAAGTCACAGTCACTAATGCACTTCAGCTTCACAGTGTGTGTGTGTGTGTGTGTGTGTGTGTGTGTGTGTGTGTGTGTGTGTGTGTGTGTGTGTGTGTGTGTGTGTGTGTGTGTGTGTGTGTGTGTGTGTGTGTGTTTGTGTGTGTGTGTGTGTGTGTGTGTGTGTGTGTGTGTGTATTCTCAGGTTCGAGGGCCTGAAGCTGACTCTCGGGGTCTGCTGTGGGTTCTGGACGAAGAGTTGTCGACGGCGGGCTCCAGTGAGAGTGTGGTTCTAGAGAGAGTGTGTCAGTACTTCAGCAGCACAGGTGATCCGCCGTGTGTGTGTGTGTGGTCATCTCATATGTCTGCTGTGTGTGATATGTGTGTGGTCATCTCTCAACTATCTGCTGTGTGTGTGTGTGTGTGTGTGTTCAGTGCGTCAGTGTGAGCAGCCGCTGCAGTGTGAGATCGCTCATCTGATGGGTTCAGATGCGGTCCGCTATGATCTGTCCGGCTGGTTCAGTCTGCTACAGAATAACCCGTCTCTGCTCAACGCCAGCTCTCTGCTGCACAACTCCTCACAGTAAGACTCACACGCGCAGGCGCAGTAACTAATAAAGCATATTACTGTAGATTTCAGCAGGCTGCCAGGGAAATACTCCAGAAGTTTAGCTTGATTTGAATAAATTTAAAGTCTACATTTACCATAGTTTTGGACATGGCCAGACATTTTAGAGTAATTTTTAAATCATGACATTTTAAGCAAAAACAAGACCTCGTGATTTTTATGTGCTATTAATTGCTTATATTCATTCATTCATTCATTCATTCATTCATTCATTCATTTTCTTTTCGGCTAAGTCCCTTTATTTATAAAAAGCCCCAATCAAAGAGGAGAATGTCTGCAGCCCTGCTTCCGTTTTCAGATGTCTCCATTTTCCCCTATCCACACTGAAACGGAGCAGCAGCATTTTAGGCCCCGTTTACACTAGTGCGTTTTAGTTTTAAAACGGCGTTTTAGATCAAAAACTATACGCATCCACAGTATCGTTTCAACGAGCGTTTCTGAACATGTCTCCGTCCACACTACGCCACCAAAAACGTATATCATGTGACCATTTGCACACTCTGGGCATGCGCGTTCTAGTATAAACCGGAAGCATGGTCAGCGCAATAGCCTAGTGGTTAGCGCACCGACATATGGTGCAATAGCACGTCAGGGCATCGCGAGTTCGAATCCCAGTTTGAGGACATTTGCCTACCCTACCCCCTTTCTCTCTCTCCCACTTCGCTTCCTGTCTCAATACTGTCCTATCTAATAAAGGCAAAAAGGCCAAAAATAATTATTAAAAAATAAAATAAAAAAATAAACAGGAAGCATGCGTCTCACTCGGCATTTGGTTATTGTTAGTCAACAAACGCCGGTTGAACAATGAACGCGATGGCAAAGAATGCAAGAGAGGTATTTTTGTGGACAGACGGCGAGGTCGAGTTACTAAACGTAACAAATGAATAACTGCACAATGGCGCCTAAAACAGACAATAGTGCAAACAACGCTCCCATTTCTGTGTCCATGTTGTTGTTTACAGTGAAGGCTGGTCTGCTGTCTTCCGGTAGCGTTAAAGCCATGTGGTATAGTCATGTGATAGGGGCTTGACGAATAAGGGAAGGATACGCTATGACACAAAAACCCCAATCAGGTAGGTGAATGTCGGCAGCCCCGCCTCCGTTTTTAGATGTCTCCGTTTTCCCCCATCGACACTGAGACGGAGCAGCAGCGTTTAATGCTGCGTTCACACCAGACGCGGAACGAGCGTCAAGCGCGAGTGATTTACATGTTAAGTCAATGCAAACGCGCGAATAGACATCCTGCGGTGCGATATGCGCGAATGGCATGGCGCGAATGACGCAAATTGCGCGAATGGCGTGGGGCGAATCGCGCGAATCTCTTGAGTTCGAAAATCTGAACTTCAGCGTACATTCGCACCGCGTTAACCAATCAGAGGCTTGCTCTTGTGGGGGCGTGATTGTGACGTAGAACCTGTTGTCGGTGTTACGAGGGAAATCTATCAGCCTTCACCGACAACAGTTCATCAAACTGGGCTGGGCTCAGTCAGAAGCACCGCTGAAAGCCTCCGTCATCCAGGTTTAGTTTCTGGAGGAGTTTATGAGCTCACAGAGCTGGATGCACCTCTGAAAGGATGTAGTGGACTCAGACACGACCCTAAATGTATCGATGCTGTTTTTCAGTCTTCATAAAGCACGTTAACACTTTTTTATTTTCTTTATAAAATCCATGTTAGCCATTTAGCTATGAAGCTAGAGTCTTCGGGCAGACAGAAGCCCTGCCCATCACGCGAATCCGCGTCTGTTCTGAAGTGAATTTGACACGCGAATGAAGCGAGTAAACTCAAGTGTTCACGCGGCTATTTACGCTCGAATACCTCAATTTATCCGCGCGTTCCGCGTCTGGTGTGAACACAGCATCAGAATGAAAAATGCCTCTCCAGCGTTTCCAAAACATTCCGTTTTTGGCGCTCGAAAACTCAGGCGTAGTGTGGACTGATGGCAAAACCGTAGCAAAACGTATGCATTTTAAAACAAAAACGTATTAGTGTAAACGGGGCCTTAGTAAGAAAATCATTTTATTGTAAACCCTGTCGTGCTGTCAAACCCAGTGTCAGGCAGATGTTGCGTTCACACTAAGAACCTCCTGCTGTGTGTGTTTGTCAGTATGTCGGTGAAGGCTCTGTTTGGGCCGCGGGCGTCCGTTCCTCCGCTCTGCCGGGGTCTGGGCGGTGTGGAGGGTGGATCTCAGCGCTCTCTGGAGAGAAGTGGAGCGGTGCGCAAGACTCTGAGCGCAGGGATGGCGGCCCTCAGGAGACACTCGCACTGCATCTCCATCAAGCTGCAGGCGGTGAGACACTCTTACATTCAACTCAAGTGTATTTGCACAGCGCTTTTCACAACTATTAGCGTTCCAAAGCAGCTTTAAAGGTGCACATTATTCAGGGCTGCACAAACTATCTTTATCACAGATTCGGTCATTCGTGGCATTCCAAGGTATGTTATTCCCAGATAACAACCACTGAATAACACAGACTAATCTGTGAACTTAGAATCACCTCGACCGTCAGTAAATACATACAAATACTTACATCTGTCTCCATCTAGTGTCTGAATAATGCACAGGTTAGTGTATACTTTATCAGCTGTTTTAGGGTGCGTTCACACCTGTGAATCAATTCAGTTGTTCCTGAACAGAGACTACAACTGTTACATTGGTGCTCTTTGCTCTTGGAGCGGTTCGCTTTCACACTGCAAAGTTTCTAATCGGACCAAAAGAGCTAAAACAAGTCACGTGCGAGTAAACTCTCCTCACATTGGTCAGAGTGTCAGGGTTTATTTTGCAGCGTCCCGCTCAGCTGTCAGGAGAGGTGGTGGTTTGGTGGTGATTGACAGGGTGCGCGCGACGTGTCTGAGGAGAGATGCGGTGGGGAGGGGTGAGAAGGGATGCCTATTTGAGGACCGGGAGGGAGACGTGAGATTACCGGGAGATCATCACTCGTTTGCGGGCATCCGGAGACTCGCGAAACTTCCCGCCCTACTCATAATTCTCTCTTCATATAGCCGTATGCCTATTACATATCCATAAAACACTGTGATATAACCGCGCTCGGATCGGATCGCTTTCTCACTGCAATCGAACCGCTCCAGGGTTCGTTTCAATCGAGCCGAGACCACCTCATTCAGGCGATCTCGGATCAATTACTTTGGCGCGGAACAGAGCGCGATTGCCCTGTTCACATATGCCAAACGAACCGCGCTAACTGGGCAATCGAGACTCGTTCCGAAACAAAAGTGTAGGTGTGAAAGCACCCATAATGTCTGTCAGCTTTGTGTTTTTGACTGTTTGTCTCCATCTTGTGTCTGAATAATGCACAGGTTAGTGTATACTCAATCAGCTGTTTTAGTCTCTGTCAGCTTTGTGTTTGATTAAAGATTGAATAAACTATTACAGCTCAGACAAATGTCAAATGTTCGTGGCAAGTATTGGTGTAATAAGTGGGATAAAGTACATCCAGGTGGTTGTTTTTACAGAATAAATCCTTCAGTCTTATACAACAGTGCACTGCTTCACGTCGGATAAGCCTGCCAGGATGTACTCTATCCCTAACTGAAAGCCTAACAGGTTGTTAGCCGGATGTGGAGCACAGCACTGTTGTTTAAGGGTGCTTTCACACTTGGTTCATTTGCCTGGACCGTACTCAAGTTCGATAGTCCCCCCTTGCCACCTACTCTGTTGGTTTGTGTTCACACTGTCTTTTTTCCTTCTGAACCCCGGTACGCTTGCGTCATCGAGCTGCTGTTTTGTTTACAGCCATTGCTAGGTGACGGTCACGAAAGCAAAGCGTCGAAATGGAAAGACTTCCACACATCGCAATCATTCTGCTTTTACTGAATCTTTTAGTTTTGGACATACAGAAAGCGACTCGCGTCTATCTGCCGCAAACATGTTATAAACATTCAGAACATCACACAGCGTCTGCAGAAGCTGTTTTTGGAGGAGACAAGCAGACATCAATGTGTATCACTGTGTTTGCCCTAACTTAGTCCCGTGTGTCACTAAGATACGAAACGTGACACAGACACACACAAACACGAACGAACGTTATGAGAACGATAGTTTGTTGTACAGTTGGCGGTGCACTTCCGTGATTTGGTACGATTGCATTCACATCAGAAGTGAACCGTACCCGAGTTCGCATGAACCGTACCCCAGACCACCTCTTTCAGGCGGACTCGGGTACGGTTCACGGGTGCGCACCCGAGTTCAGAAGACACGTTCACACTAGCTAAAAGTACCGTCCTATGAAGTCAAACAAACCCAGGTGCGGACGAAAAGTGCTAGTGTGAAACTCTATCCTGATTATTACATTTCTACTGGCCACCAAACATTAAAAGTAGAGACAAAACATTGTTCTGAGCTCTAATGGTTTTTAATTATTTAATTAAATCAAGGCTGACGAACAAAAACAGCTGATGGAGTATACACTGACCTCTACATTATTCAGAAACTAGCGTGGCGTGACAGACCAGCAGATGCATATGAATGTGAATGTATAAGTAGATGGATCTGAAAGTATATGGATGAACGTATTCACTGATGGTCAAATTATTTATGTTATTTAGAGGTTGTTGTTTGGGTATAACATCCCTTTAAATGTTGTGACTGACCAATCAGAATGAAGGATTCCAGACAGCCATATAATAAACACAGTTACCCTGCAGTTATCCAGTATATAGTCTCCTTTCAAAGAGGTGCTGTCTATGTGTATTACTCATGCTCACTGACGTGTACTTGTGTATTACTCACACCTGATAAAACCCTTTAAGTCTGCCTTCTATGTGTGTGTGTGTGTGTGTGTGTGTCCTGCAGGATGCTCTGCTGAGTGTGATCCGGCGTGCGAGGCCTGTGTTCCTGCAGTGTTTGAGTGTGAAGACAGATGGAGGAGGCTTTGATGTTCCTGCACTGCGGATACAGCTGAACTCCACACACCTGCTGCCCACACTGCAGCTGTACAGGACAGGTCTCTCTCTCTCTAACACACACACACACACACACACACACGCACTTATGCATATACATGTCTATGTTACTTTCATTTTCGAATACAAGACTTGGTAGAGACAGGTGTGCGTGTGTATGTGTGTGTGTGTGTGTCATACAGTATTCTCTGGAAATAAGCCATTACTTAATAATTTGGATAAGGCAGTGTGTTATTGCTGTGTGTGATCTGTGTGTGTATGTGTGTGTGTTCTGCAGGTTACCCGGAGCACATGTCCCTCAGTGATTTCCGCTGCCGTTTTCAGGCCCTCTCTGCTCCCGTAATGAAGCGATACGGTTCTGTCTTCATTACCCCCGACGAGAGGAAGGTCTGGACGTCCTGCATCGCCAGGACACACACACACACACACACACACCTCATTACCCTCTGCTGAAATGTCATTTCTGTTTAATGATGTCAGATGAGGATGTTATTTATTCCTCTGTTCATGAGCATGTCCATTGATTTGCTGGTTTGTGCTTGACCAGTCCTCATTGACCAGGCCTGCGTGTGTGCGTGTGTGTGTGCGTGCGTCTGTGTGTGTGTGTGTGTGTGTGTGTGTTCATCAGGCTGTGGAGGAGCTACTGATCGACCTGGATCTGGACAAGAAGAGTGTGGTTTTAGGAGCCAGCAGAGTTAGTGTCATGTCCGTCCATTGTTGTCTTCTG